CTTAACCAACTGAGCCATCCAGGCGCCCCCAGACGCCCCTCTTAATGGTTTTCTTAATGACATTTTCTTATCTCTAGCTTTATTGTAAGAATATATAGTACACGATATGTATAATGTACAAAATAAGTGTTTATCGATTATGTTATCAGTAAGGCTTCTGGTCAACAGTAAGCTATTAGTAGTTAAGGTTTGGGGGAGTCAAAAGTTATACATGGATTTTCAGCTGCACTGGGTGGGAGTCGGTGCTCCCCACCCTCTATTGTCTTCAATTTCTGCCCCTTCCATTTAATTTTCCCTAAGTGCTGCTAGAATGATAAAATCACATTGTTCCCCGGGTTAAACATTTCTTTGATTTCCTATTGCCTGTAAGTGAGGTCTACACACCTTAGAATGGTTTAGAAGGTCCTCCACAAGGCATGTGCACATGCTTCAGTGTGGGTCCGTCCCCATCCCCTCAGTGCTAGCTGCTCTTGACTGCATACTGGTTCTCAGATATGCTTGATGTGCACATGTCTTTGGATCTCAGCTCTTGCTTCCCTCCATAAGAAAGGCTCTTCCCCTCCTTTGCTCATACACTCAACTACTCATACTGGAAGGTCTAGTTCAAATGTTTCTCCTTCATCTGTGCTCCCATAGAACTTTATTTTTTTTTTTTTTTTTTTAGAACTTTATTTTTTTTTTTTTTTTTTTAGTCTGGACTATTTCAAATATACAGAAAAGAACAGAAAGTAATTTAATGAATCCTCATGTACCCACCAGCCATTCAACTCCTTCATACCCTAATATTTTGATGTATTTGTCCTACCCCCACCCCACCTTTTTTGGTAAGATATTTCTGTATTTCTGTTACACATATACGTAATTTTAAACAATATAGTGCATTGATTTGCATCTTCTTAAAATTTGTATGCATCCTTTTGCAGTTTGCTTGATCTCATTCAATATTAGTTTTATGACAGTCCCGTTTATGTCTGTAGAACTAGAAGTATATGCATTCTACGGGTAATTGTCATGAAATTGTCTTCCTTTTATGAATGAATCAGATTTTTATTAATTTATTTTCCTGTTGGACATTTAGATTTCCACTATTACAAACAATGCAGCTGTAAACATCTTAGCACATGTTTCCTTGTGTACATTTTGTTTGTTTATCTAGAGTGAAGTTGTGAGATCATAGGTTGCACTTAGCTTCCAGGTTTATTAGGTATTGCCAAATTGCTCTTCTCTTCATATTCTTACCAGTATGTGGTATTAAGAATTTTTGATAATTTGATGGATATGAAGTGGTGTCTATTTTTTCTTTTAAAGTTTTATTTTTTTAGTAATGTCTGC